TGCCAATTTATAGATGGTCATAGCAGAGGATACTGGAATGGTAAAACTCCACAAAATTAACTGAAAATAAACACAGAATAAGCCCAAGTGTTCCTTTTTTTAAGAGTTTATTAGAAGAGGTCCTGATAGAGGCAATGGTAAATACTGTTCAGGCAAAGCTACTCATACTAACATAATGCTTCCTCAGGTAAGAGATGATTCATGATGGGAATCAATATTTCACCTTCAGAGACCATGAACAACATCTACATCTTCTCCTCTGCACAGGTACAACCAACTAATCAAGAATGATCTGCCCTCAGCACAGCATTTATCTTGCTACTGTGTTCTGCCAATAGACACTGTTCACATAAATATTGTCTGGGTAAAGAAAAGTAGCCATCAATCCAACAATTACTTTCCAATATTTTAAGAATAATAGGAATATTGCTAATCACAGTAGAAACACTCTTGCTCTGTCCTTAGTGCAACTTTTCATGTCTATTCACACAAACAATGAGAAATTTATTATTTTTATTTTTTTAAAAAAAAACTAGGCACACTCATTAAAAACACCTTGATGAACTGGAAGATTCTTTCTCTGATAACAGAGCCTCTCCTCTTTCTTCAGTTCACTGCACAGGTTCCCAGCACCTGAGGACTTTGAATTAATTACTCATGTCCCTGCAAAAGAGAAATGCTCAATTTACTCTGAGTAGCTAGCCTGGACTTTCAGAAACTCATCCAAATTTCTCTTTTCCATTTCCAGAGTCAGGATGCTTTTAGCAGCTTGACAATATTACTTTGGTACAGAAGGCTTCATAAGAACCTTGACTCATTTGTAACTGCTACTTACAGAATCTCAGACTGATTTAGGCTGGAAAGGATCTTAAAGCTCATCCAGTTCCACCTCCTTCAGATTGCTCCAAGACCTGTCCAAGCTGGCCTGGAACACTTCCAGGGATGAGGTAGCCACAATTTGAGACCTCATGTTAAGGCTGCCTCTGTCAGATCCTGGCTTAAAAAGGACTTCTCACCTACGTATGAGAGAACAAATTTTTTTTAAAAAATAAAACCCACTCTAAAAAAATTATATTAGTTCCTAGTACCAAAAATTCTGAAAGTTACAAAACTCCTTGCTATGCCTTTTCCAAACCATGTGGTTGAACTTGGTCACCACCAGGATCTCCAGGATGCAAGATCCAAGCAAGCACTGATGCTGCTAAGAGTTCAATTGATAAGAAGCCAGTGAGCATCAGGAAAATTCTACAGAGCTCCATATCTCACATTCTTATAAAAACTGACACTGGATCATATTAGCTGCAATTCCAAATACAGTAAATACCACCAGCATGTATTTATATTTACCAAAAGCTGAATTTTTTTTCTTGTGTTACTAACATTACACAATTAACATGTTGTTTTGACTGCTACCAGGCTCAGATGAGTTCATACTGGGCAGAAGTTAATTAGTGCTTAATTCCAAAAGCAGGAAATGGAGCAGTTTGGAGGTGGGATTTATGTGGGTTTTTGCTGCTGTTGCTGCTACTACATTGGCGTTTTTTAAGCAGTTTCCATATTTTTGTCTTCCCAAAGAGACTGCTTGAAGCAAAGTCATGAATTTTCTGTATTATCAGTTCCCTCAGCAGACAGGGAGCACTGCTCATTATCACCACCTTTGCATTTACTTGTACCTGCTGTTCCTGGGAAAACAACAATATGCCTGAGGCTTACAACACATCTGAACTCCCAAAAAAGGCACTTCTTAATGTGGATATTACCTAAAGGAAAAAAAGGGAAGTTAAGATCCTTAAAAGCACAGGTATCAATTTTTGTGTTATACATATGAAGTTTATTCATCATTAATGACAAACTTTTTGTCACATCACATCTTCATTATTATCCCCTAATTTAACATTCTGCAGACATCTGCAGACATTAACTGAGCCTTAACTGTTGCCACTATATTTTCAGATGTTCTGCACAGAAAATATTTCTGAAAAGAAGCTCAAATTAATGTCACTGCAGAATTGTCTCTGGATGGGGCTCTCAGTGTTCTGGTCTGCTTGACAAGGTGGTGACTGGCCAAAGGCTCAACTTGATGTTCTTGGAAGCCTTTTCCAACCTGAATGATTCCATGTTTGGGAACAGTGAAATCACAGCACTGAGAGTTCTGCCAGCCAAAAGTTTCATTTTGCTATTTTTTAACTACCTGAAGACAAAATATAAGGATATTGAAGTAACTCAGAGTTGCTTACAGCACACAAGTAACATCAGGCACTTGAATTCCTCAGTGCAAATACTGAGACTCTGCTGTAAACACTTATCTATTTTTATTTAACCTGCTAAACCCTCATAAACCTCCACCTCTCCCTAAAAAAAACACATTCCCCAGATGGTGATATACTCCATGTGTTCATTTTGGCTCTACCAGGGGAAGAAGCTTCTACCATTACAGCTGTGCCATGAATCCACACACTTAGATTCCAAGGATTTCTTATAGAGGAGGCATCTTAAGGCTGGAGAAGAGAAGGCTCCAGGGAGACTTGAGAGCCCCTCCCAGTGCTTGAAGGGGCTCCAGGAGAACTGGAGAGGGACTTGGGATGAGGGTCTGGAGTGGCAGGACAAGGGGAAGTGGCTTCCCACTGCCACAGGGCAGGGTTAGATGGGATACTGGGAAGGAACTGTTGCCTCTGAGGGTGGGCAGGCCCTGGCACAGGGTGCCCAGAGAAGCTGGGGCTGCCCCTGGATCCCTGGCAGTGTCCAAGGCCAGGCTGGATGGTGCTGGGATATTGGAAAGTGTCCTTGTCCATGGCAGAGGTGGAACCAGATGACATTTAAAGGCTACTTCCATCCCAAACCAGTCAAGGATTCTGCAATGATTCCATAAATGCCTTTACCTGAACCACTCCAGTAACATTCAGCTGGTATTTCCAAACCTTGGCCTGATGGGAAATCAATTTTCAATCTTCTCCATAACAGACTATAGTCAAACACTGGAAAACTGGCTTCATCAGCTACAGAATTATTGCTAGCAGATTTTGGGTAGTCTAAACTTGTGACTATCATGGTTATATGAAATGCCAAAAATTCACATTCCTCACAACTAAAACTTGATTGTATCTTGTGGCTACAGTATACACAAGATACCCCTAAGTAGGGTTCAAAGAAAGATGAACAGCTTGGAGAAAGGGGGGATTTACTATGGAAACTTCCTGTCTTTCTCACTCAGAAAAAAAAATAAATCTATAAATAAGCAGTTATTTTCAAACATTTCAGAAATAATGTTTGGTTAAAAGAAAAGATACACTATGACAAAAAAATTCTTTTGGGGGCTTCTATAGAAGTTTTCAACATGAGGAGGAGAAATTAAATGTCAATGAGGTTTCCTTTGCCAGAGAGTAAGGAAAGCCAAGGGAAGCACATCACCAAGGAGGATTACAGGCCCCACAGACTGACAGGAGTTCAGGTCTCCATGAGTTTCTCAAACTGAAAGCAGAATGGTTTTGAAGCATGTTACACTCAGCATTCATTTTGTTGTATCTATGTGCATTGCAGTTTCTCTTTGCACAAGCTGCTGAGCTGCTACTCAGGTTTTTGCTAAGCCCTCACAGTATCCTCTCCTAAGAATCCTAACAGCAGCAGGCAGTGAAGCTCTGCATCATTCCAGACAGCAGCTAAAGCAGCATCCTGGGCCAGTCATTCAGTTTCAGATCCCTAAAAATTACCTATTGGTGGAGAGATCACAGACACAAGAAGAAAACACTAAGTAAGTCTGCAGTGGAAGATTTGGTGTCTCAACAGGAAGATAAGGAATCCATCTGACTTCTCTCCCATCATGCTCTCACCAAAGCAGCATCACAGAAATAGAGCAGGTCATGAATTTTCTGTTAGGAGAATTGTAGAAGCCCATCAAATATTAAAAAGCACTGCAGATGTCTGCAGTCCTTTCTAAAAGCTTTTTTCAGACCAGCAAGGAGGACACATTAATTAATTAAATTAACTGTTTCCAAACATTCCAGTTGTACAGATCATTACCTTTCTTCAGATGTTTTTAATAGAAAATTAGTCTGTTCCTCCAGGGTTTTCATTCCAGAGCTTCTCTCCAACCGTAACACTGTTTGTTTATCCAGGTTCTCAGAAGACTTCACAGAACCTTATTGCTTTCTACATAACCTAAAGCAATAGTTACATCTCACTGATTGTCAGAAAGCCTCTAGTATCAGCCACATCTCCAGGTAACCACTTAAACAAGCAAAAACCTTAAGTACAAATACAAAATTACCTGCGCTGCAAAAAGAGCCCCTTGAAAATTATCAGGAATGTGTATGAATCACTTCAGCTTATTGAATTGCTGCACCTACCCCACAATCCACTTAATGGGGTTTCTTAAATTAAATTTCTCTCCACCAAACACATCTCCCTGTCACATGACACAAGCTGAATACCTACAGAGAAGACTGAATTTTCTCAGATCCAGCTGCAAGGTACCTGCCTTAGTAATTCTGGCAAGATCAACTTGTTTGTGTTCCAAGCAATCCTTCATTAGTGCATTACTTAAAAATCAGTCATAAGACACCCGTTTCTAAATAGGAAACCTGCTCAAAGACATTATTCCAGAACAGAAACTGGACTGAAAGCTGAAAAACATCATACCTATATTCGAAATGCCATCTTCTTCCAATTCCTTTGCAGCAAATAACATCCTTTCCCAAAAAAAGCAAGTTGCAGAAATCAGTTTGTGCACTGCTCAGATGCACCTGTGCTGGTTCAAACACATCATCAAGGCTTCGGTCAGAGAAGAACGGAGCTCTCTGAGGTGCCAACTTCAGCCACCCAGAGCTGCACAGCTCCTTTCACATCATCCCAGGCAATAACTTCCTCCTCTTACATAAGAGGCAGCACTCCCAGGTGCCCCTGTTTCCAGCACGGTGCTGGCACTGCAGGAAGAGGCTGCGCTTGCCCCGTGCCGGGCTCTGCCATGGCAGAGGATCAACACTTTGGGATCACTGCTCCTCAAGGCTTCTAAAAATATACCACCAGCTGCTATCAGAGCCTGTGTGCTGATACCCAGCACCACTGACCAAGTACCACATCTAAAACCTCCTATTTCCTTAATGCCACAGGCAGACAGATTTATATTGCACTCTGTATCTGACAGTGAAAGGCTGCCCGATACCAATGTAGATCTTAAAAAACCCAAACAAACCCTTTTTTTAGCATAACCTTGTGTGCCAGCTGTGGTTTCTTCAGGCTTTAGATTGTGTTTCAGGCTTTGAGAAGCAGCTACAAAGTGGAGACCCTGCTCAGATTTTCCCAGCACCGGTGCAAAAGACCATTCTCCATTCACAGACCTCACACATAACTGGCATTGACAACTGGCACTGACACTCTTGGATCCAACAACATGAATTTATTATGAACTGAATCAGCTTTCAATTAATCAGATTAGCACCCCAGCTGTGAATACATACTCTTCAGAACCTTATTCTTGGACTGTGACCTCCTGTTATCTCACACTATCATAGAAATTTAATCTGTCAAACAATCCAGTACGAAGTCCACGCAATTACATCTGCTTAAGTACAAATCCACGCTTGGCAATAAGCCCTCAACAGATACATCCTGTTCACTTGTCAGTCAAATTTTGTTCAAGTAATTACAGCCTCTTTCTCACTGGAAACAGCTACTGACATATTTGCAAAGCCTCAAATTTCCAAAGGGCAAGCCAAGCCTGGGACTTCCAGTTTTATGAACAGCCAAGTGAAGCAGGGACATGAAGTCAGGATCACTGAGGCTTGCTATGGATCAGCCAGTCTCTACTAACTGCAGCAGGGATATTTCATTAAAATTCACCACTATCTGCTCTGGATATAAAAAGCAGATCAAGTTAAATCTTGTCATGATTCACAAGTTTCTCTGCTTGTACCACCTGTACTTTCCTTGACAGAGAGGACTTGATCACGGCACCTTCTATCTTTCTGGTTTTAACCATTGCACACCTCAGATGGTTCAAAGTGGAAGGAACAGAGGAGACCAGAAATACAAACTGCAACACATTGGAGAGGCACAATACAACCTAAAGCAGAAAACATATTCTCTTATTTAAAAAAAAAAAATTCTTAAAAAAATCCCTTTTATTCCTTTCTCCCGCTATTCTCAGAATGGTTTTCATGCAGACTTCAGCTCAAATAAAGTGTATGCATTTTACCTTAACTAGCTCTGTAATATGTAGCAAGAAAGTAAAATTGGACCTCAGTTATTTATAATAGCACATAGGTTATAAGATACCTACCTGTTTAAGTCAGAAAAATTAATAAAATAATCCCATAGAATGTTGCATTCTGTCTATTCACTCCTCAGATTACAAATACCCCACAGATTCTTTTCAATGTAACCAACATTATTCAATAGAACTCTATGCCTGATTGCAATCTCCATTTACAAGTTTTTAGAAATATAAAAGCCAACAAACACTCCCATTACGCTCCATCCTTTGTACAAAACACCCATAATAGCTTTACATTTGTTAAATTAAATTAGATGAAACTTAATACACCAACTTACAGAGGAAAGCAAGTTCAATCAGTTCTTCAGTCTTGTTCCTCTACTCAGTTTCTACTTATCCAGGTGTTATTGGTTCGAGTCTGGCTTTTTAGTTTCTGTAGTATAAGAGCCATGTCAGAAGATTTGTTGACTCAGAGCTACTACTTATTTCTAGCTGAAAACGTGTTCAAAATGCTGTCTTTCACTTTACTCTTCAATTATCACCATTTGACTAATTTTGAACCCTTTAGCAAGTGTTACATCATGAGTGTTGCTTAATGTCTTTAAAGCAGTCATGACCAACCACAAAAGATTTTATTCAGCTTTATAATTATGGATAATTACCTAGGTCTAAACACTCCCCACAGTTTTTTCAGTTATATCCATTACTTCAGTAAACCATTTGTAAACCTTCCCAAGTAGGAGGTAGTGATTTCCCCTAGCATTATTTATGAGTTATCAGTAAAGGAAGTTGGTTCCTCCTTGCTGGAATTATTTTATAGCTGATCACAGAACATTATGGCATCAGCCAACCCAACGGCATTAAGTCCTCATCATTCTTTAAAAGGCTTTCCTGTTATTATAATCTGATAAATTTAATTCAGCTATTACTCAGCAATGTATATTCACTGCTCTGGCTGTTTGCTGGTGCATGTTGATGCAGCAGAGGGTTGGTTCAAGCTACAGGAAAACACCTGCAGGGCTAATCCTTGAGCAACAATTTCTGCTCTTGCATACACACCCATCCTTACAGCAAAGCTTTCTTTTCCATTTCCCATCCACAAGACACGACAAACAATTTATCATGGAATGGTTTGGGCTGGAAGTGACACTAAAGTCCACCTTATCCCACCCCCTGCCATGGGCAGGGACACCTTCCACCAGACTAGGTTGCTCCAAGCCCCATCCAGCCTGGCCTTGGACACTGCCAGGGATCCAGGGGCAGCCCCAGCTTCTCTGGGCACCCTGTGCCAGGGCCTGCCCACCCTCACAGGGAACAATTCTGGACCAGCTATTTCAAGTTTTAAATTATCTTGCTTCCACACATCAGCTGTGCTCCTGCAACTCAACACTGACTTCCAGAGAACAGGCAGCTGCACTTGGCTGCTTTAGCCCCAGAGATCAGGCAGAATTAAACCACAGGTTTGTTTGGAGATCTGCTTTCTAAGTGCATTTGTAGCCACCATATCCAAGCCTCACATCCCACAGCTGCCTTGGATGTGAGGCAAACCACAGAATGCACAGTCATGAACTGAGCAGCTTATGCTCAAAATACTGCAGGCTTTCAGAGTGACCTAAATCAACTACATGGCCAAAAAAGAGCCCCTAGGAGCAGCAAGTCTTGGGCAAATGGTCAGCACAATCCATTCTGTGTATTTACCTTTTTATTACTAATATAACCTTTAAAAGCTTTTTATTCCAATCTAACCTTTTAAAAGCTTCTGATATTCTACTTAACAGGAGTGGAAGACAGATCTCCTTGTATGTTATTCCAAAATTGTATGATTTTGCTTTACATTTTACATACATTTTTTGGTTTGTATCTATACATATTATAGATCCTTTTCTCACCATTCTGGCTTACACTTCACATCAATATTTCAACAGTTTTCATCCGTCAGCCATTGTTATGCTAAAACCTAGGTGTTAGCAGAGCTCTATTCTTCAAGTTGTCTGCCAGAGCATGTCTCACTCAAAGCAGCCTGTCAAAGAAATTCACCCCCAACATGAACAAAGAGATATTGAAAAAGTAGTTGATGCAATTTTATTTTTTTTTTAATATGAGAACAAGTCAGCGAGACAGATCTAGATTATTATGAAACATAGTAAATTATGCTATTTCCAAAGTCTACTGAAATTCAAAATTCAGGAATTTTCCAGAAAAAATATTTTGAAATTAATTAAATTATTTAATTAATTGATCCATATTATGTTTGGCAGAGCCAACTCACAGCCCATGCCCCATAATCCTTACCTTATCCTAATGTGGGGAATTCCCCTGTAACAGAGTTCATTTATGGAGAAGACATGGGATTAATTTCATGGCATCTTTGTTTTGAAATGAACAATTAAAAAAATTTAAAAAAATAAGACATGTATGACAAGAATTCAAGGAAAGCCTGAATTCAACCAGGTATTTCAATTTAAGGTAAGTTGGGGTTGAACTGAAGTCACCCCTCACCAGAACCTACTCTAAAGAGCATCAATTCCTGGTAGTTTAAGATGTTTTTTTCATTTCCTCCTCAGCCATCAACCAACTCATGCTAATCATCACCTTTTCCATTATCATAGAGCCAGAGAATGCTCTGGGAACATCTGCCTTCAATAATTCATCTCTCACACTAATAAACTCCTGAGCCAGTGGCTGCAGATGTACCTCACTTTTCCCCTTCCATACAAACCCTAATTACTTTTCTGAGTGTGTTTATTAGCTTGGACAGCCGCCCACCTCCCTTTTCAGTTCTCTGCTTATCATCCGTCCTCCCATGCAAATAAACACTCACAAAAAGCTGAAACCTCCTAAAGATCCTGTGGAGAACCACAGCCCATCTCCATTAGCTGTTAGTGCAAAGGAGGCACATCTTACAGGGATACTCACTGAAAGGTTCTTCCAAGAATAAGAGGGAAGTGGCATTAAGGTAATGGCACTCCATTCTTTAACACCTGCACTCCTTTTCCCTTCCTGCCTGGGATTCTCCCTGTTCCATCACATGGGCAGCAAGCCAGGGTCCCTTCATTTGTTTTCATTTCAGCTACTGCCTGAATTTCACATCAAAAATCAAACAGCTCATCTGTAAACCAGTAAGCAAAGTTACTTTTCAAGCAACTATCTTTAACATCACAAACTCAATATTTATAAGAAAGCAAAAGGTAAAGAGCTCTTATAGCTGAGTCTTAAAGCAAGTAAAGAAAACAAATTCTTACTGACCTTTTAACATGCTGGTGTACTCTTTTTTTATTTATAAACATAAGCTGAAAACATTAATTCAGAGTTCAGTATTACCACCTTGGCTTGGTTCTTATACTGCATTTAACACAGTTTAAAACGAAGCATCAGAGATCCTTCCTTAGAATTGTCACTGCTCCTAGGCAAAGGTTTAATAATTATTAGCCTGATTCTGTCATTTCTGAAAAAAAAACAAGCAAACAAATAAACCCAGCCAAGCCCCAATTCATTACAGTAGTACAGGACTCCCCTGGTATTGTGACTTCTTATATTTCACTTCAGTTGCTCTAAGTCAATATAAATTCTTTTCACTGCACAGTTACTAGGCCAAAGTCAAAATGCTTTTCTCCCAGTTCAGCCACAACAGACTGATCGTCATCTCTTTCCCAGAAATCTAATTAAGTCCTTCTCATAACTGCTCAGAGAATGCAATAAGATCCAATTTCTTTGCAATATTTATTATTGCAGTTATCATCTTGCAACAGTTACAGCCAAGTAAGCATCTGACCAAGTCCTAAAAAGTACCTTTTTAGGTTTTGCTTAAAACCTTCTCCAAGTGCCTCAGTCACAATCAGAGACATGACTCAAGAGTAAAGGAATTCTGCAGATCCACAAAACCTGGTGAAATAAAAATTAGCTCTGAATAACAGCGAGCAGCCAAGGAAAATCGATTGCTGCTCCTGATCAGCACACAGATCACAGCTCTGCTTTCTGAACAAACTGAAGGTGTCCAACTCGGTTATGGCCTGAAAGGACAAAGACTGGGGTCTTCTGCAGTGTTACAGCTCAGACAGAAAATAAACAACTCTTACTCTTCAATGCTCAGCCCTGTCCATCTGGCTAAGCTCACAAAAACCAAACTGAACCACACTTCCAGTACCAAATGAAACATTTCCACCAGAAAACACTTCCTGCTGACAAACAAAGCATCAGCCCTGCTCGCTTGCCATGTACTTCTAGGAAATAAAATAGTATTTTGCAGATTTGTTTGTAAAGATAATCACTGTGAGCGATTACAGGATCAAGCACTTGATCAGATTTAAGTGTTCAGTATACACTGTCTGTCTGTTTACAAACACCTGGTGATAATCCCGTGGTGTCCTAGACAGAGAGGAATGAAAACCAGTTCTGAATAGCGAGTGTTTCTTTCTAGGTAACTTGAGGAAAAAGTTACCTTGAATTATACGACAAATAATTAAAATTATCAAAGGCAGTAGCCCTGAGGAGCAGCACCCAGCCCTCTGCTCCCCCAGATCACATTTCAACCAGGAGAAACATTGTCACCTCAGCTCCTGCCATTAGGAAAAGGATGTCATTTCCGAAGCTCTCAGCCTAGGACAACAGGGGATTATCTCCAGGTAAACACTCCCCCTGCAAAGCTGTGAAGTTCTGCAACTGCAGTAACACAGGCAATGGTTGTTTCAGCCAATATTTTCACACTAACAGTGCTTTGAATAATTCTAAGCAGGAATTATTCAAAATAATTTTCAGACACAAACCAGTAGCAAACTGCTATGTAATTCTTCACTCTGGTTCATAACAAATGAAAGTTCTAATTCTCTTAGGCAAACGGTGAATTATTGCAAACTGAAATGAGCTTTCAGTGAAGTGGTTACACTTCCAGGACAAATGCACTTGTTAGATTAATTCCCACTACATTTTCATCTGGATGCCAACACAGAGGTCACTTTCAACATGTTGACCCTTGTTAACCCACAGGTTAGGACTTGTATTTAATACACATTCTGGCACAGCTACCCTGCCTCAAGTCTGCACAGCCTGGGCCATTACTTGAAACTGAACAGAAATTCAAGAGCAAGTCAGTTGAGAACTCCTACCTCAGTCACGATGGAATTCAACACAGAACTGCTGCATACCATCATGGTTTCTTACACATCTTCCAGGGAGTGAAAAGTCCCTTTATTTTCAATGTTATTAAGTATGTAGCTACTACTGGCATTTCAAGAACATACGAACTAAAATTAGCAGAAGCTGCTAGCAGCATGAATTTTAAAAAGGCCAAAGCTCCTAGCAGTAAGTCAGAATGTGTTTTCATTAAACAGCACCTAAAAATTAAGATCCAAGTCATCTGGAAGGTACTTAATAGGGATGAGCATTTTTTACTGAACAGCTGAGGTGTTTAACAATATTCATCAGTAAAGAGCCATACTGACTGTTACCTCTTCAGTGAGATCTCCCTGCCACTGTCAAAGCAGCAGATGTGGTGTTTTACTCACACCTCCAAGCCATTTCTCCATCTCCAGGCAAAAAATACCAATAGCAACTAGAAAATACGAATGAACAGCTTGAAGTCTGTTTTTAAATCAGAGTGGTCCTCAGAAAAAAAAAGTTATACAGCTTAACTAACAGCTAACTAGAAAAAATTTAATAACATTATATCAACAGATTGGTCTCAGTTGTCTTGCACTCATCAAAGGATACAAACTTAGTAAAAGAAAACTTCCTCCAGACTGCACACTCTTGAATATTCGACAGTATCACCTTAGAAATCACATTGCCTTGGATTTTGCAACTCTGTTCAAAATTTGCAACTCTTCCATCATTGCAACATTTTTCTGCCAGATTAGACATCAGAATTTCAAAGTATCAATGTGAGAACCACAGGTTTTAGGAAGGCCACAGCCAGAACAAGTAGCTGAAAAGGAACTTCACGGAAATGCAGCACAATATTTATAGCAGACATATTAAAGTTAGTTAGACCATTTATCTCCACTGAGCACTTCTACAATTAAAATTCTCAACACATGATCTGAACCCTGAATATTTAGAAAATAAGGTAAATGAAACTTCTAACACTTCTAGCTTCACTGCAAATACAACAGCAAAGAAAACTCATCAATTTATCCTGAAATCCTATGAACTGTGCATTCTGCTCACAACCACTTAATGCTTCAAGTTCCTAACCCCGGTATATATTTTAAAAATAAAAGGTGAAAATTACACAGGTCATTGTTCAGCAGTGCTGAGAATCTTTCACTAAAGCTTTGTAACTTGTGATGCAAATGTAACTTGTACTAAAAACCTGAAGACATAAGCCCTGTGTTTTTCACTGAAATACCAGATGACATTTCTGAGAAGCTGAAGATGTGTGTTTTGAGCGGGGTTACTGCTCTGACTGGGCTGTACCTGCACTCATCCCCTTATCAGGCTACTCAAACATCTCAGTATCAGGTTAGCCAGGGAAAAGGAAGTATTAGGACATCAGGAGAAGGCTGATCTATGCTGGCCTGTTAGCTTGTTTTTCATTCAATGAAATTTCCAGATAAATGTTTCCATGGACAGCTTACATTGGCAGAATTCTCATCTCTACAGCACTCTGTGGTTTCCCAGACTCACTGACAGAGGGAATGAGCTACAGAGCCCTCTGATTTTTTAGTGTAGACATGGGGAGAGGGATTGAGTGAAAGAGCACCCAGTCAAATGTACTTGGGACTCAAGCACTCATGAACTTGGGGATAAATAATCATTTTCCACAAAATGCAAGTTGCCCAATGAAAAACTTAACTGTGTGTTTTGGCCAACAGTTACTGCTCGAAGTGCTGCAATTATCTCAGTGTTAAGGGATTACTAGTCACCCATTAATTACAAAATTACTTCAATTATACCATACAAAGTAGCCAACACCGAGCAGCATTAGCATAAGACAACAACCTCACCTCAGGAACTGTGCTGATGATTTCTTAGTTAGTAACTCTAAGTAACTGTGCTGCTGCTGATCCTGATTTCACTCAAGTCTAGGAGAAAGTTCAGATTTTCCAAATTAGAGAAATACTTTTTCTCCACTACAGTGGGTGCCGAGATTGTAACAAACT